CGCGGCCAAACTCTGGACCATTGCGCATGCAGTGGAAAAGAGCCTGGAAAAAGCGCGGTGGAGCTGTGGCCTGTGCGGTGTGCGGGCTGGGGGCACGGTGCCCGAGTGCCGAGAAAGGACGTGTAGGGGGGGTCCCAAGTGTTTTTTTCTGCCGTCAGCCTTTTCCTGCCAGGCGCCTGTGTCTAGGCGCCTGCGCACCACCTCGTCGTGGCCCACCGCCACGCCGCTTCTGGAGACGCTTTCGGTGGCACGCGACGGGGTGGGGGCGGGGCCGCGTTGTGCTGCAGACGGCGAGATGAGCACTTGGAGCACTTGGAGTGCAGTTGGCAGCCTCACATCCAGGGCCGGGGAGCTCAGAAGCGCACCCAGCGGGCCGGATGATCGGGATCGGGTTGCGGGCAAGAGAGCCCTAGCCCCGGGGGTGCGCGTTCGCAGGGAAAGGGCCTTAAAGTAAACACGGGTCTCCGAGGGTTGGACCCGCGTACCGGGTTTCCCCTTAACTGCAGGACGCCCCCTCTACTCGGAGCTAGTGGCCTTTGCACTGGTCCCCCAGAAATTCTTTTTTGCGAACCGTCTCATCGTGCTGCCCGCCTTTTGATGTCTTGGCAGCCTCCGGACGCGGCGGCGGCGGCGACGGCGGTGGGAGGTGTCGCAGGAGTAAGCGAGGCCGCGGCGAAGCAGAGCGAGGTGCTCGAGGCGACGCTGAAGCAGGAAGCAGAGGCGGCGGCGGCAAAGAAGGCTCTCGAGGAGCATGCCGCGGAGGTGCCGAGGGCGGAGGTGGCGGCGGCTGCGAAGGAGGCGGAGGCGGTCAACCACGTGGCGCTGGCGGCGGAGGTGGTGGCGGGCCGTGGCGGCGGCGGCCCGTGGCGTACTCGCTTGGAGACGGCCAAAGAGGCGCTGGCGGCAAAGAAGGCTCTCGAGGAGGAGGAGAGGGCCGCAGCCGAAGCTGCTCGCGCCGCTGAGACGGCTCGGATCGAGGCGGAGAAGGCGGCGGCGGAGGAGGCGGAGCGGTTGGCTGCGGAGGAGGCTGCGGCCAAGGCACGTCTACGATTCAAAGGTGAAGACGAGTCGCCACTCTCGTCTCACCGTGTGGTGTCGGGCCGCTGTAGGCGGAGCAGGCTGCGGCCGAGGCCGCCGCGGCAGAGGCGGCGAGGGTAGCGGCGGAGGAGGCCGCCGCGGCAGAGGCGGCGAGGGTGGCTGAGGAGGCTGAGGCGGCAGAGGCAGCGGCGGAGAAGATTCGCCTCGAGAAGACGGCGGCGCAAGCGGCTCGCGCGGAGAAGGTTCGGATCGAGGCGGAGAAGGCGGCGGAGGAGCAGGCGGAGGCGGCGAGGCTCAAGGCGGCGCGTGCTGCAAAGAAGGAGGCGACGGAGGGGCGGAGGATCGAGGAGAAGGAGAAGCGAGAGGAGGAGGCCGCCGCCCGCGCCCGCGCCGTCCGCGAGGCGGCTCACGAGGCGAGACCCCCGGCCATCCCCCCCCCCC